CCAAGCCGAGGATATTTTCCAATTCCAGGGACATCTTTTATCCGGAATCTCAGGAGTCGTGTGGCGGAGGCGCGTGTTGAATTGCACATACTGCTCTATGACCACTGCCAAAGTGTAATCACTCAGTTTTCCCGTAATTTGACGCAGGAATTGCGGAATCAATTCTGGCATTCTTGAGCGCGATACGTGGAGACCAAGAGAGGAGGAAAGTTGTCGGAAAACCGCAACCTGATGACCCAAGATTCCGGCGATTGCCTTGTCGATCCTTGGTTTGTGTCCTAGTAGAATTTTCAACTGGTTCCAGTTCGATTCGAGACGGTTGGTGGTAGTGTTACCAGCGGAAAAAACAAGACCTCATGCATGGTTTGCCCACATTTCACGACATGACCCCCAGTTCCTATCAAAGTAGGCGAGAATTTTTGGGCACTCTCTCTTGCAGAAGTTTGCAAACGCATCGTACGCCGTCGTATACAGCGATTTGGTGGGACTAGTTACCGCAAAACATAACACAGGTATGTCAGTATTTTCAATATATATGGTGTTTGTACGCATGCTTCGTACCTGAACATCATTCTTCTGAAAAGCTTTATGATTTCATCTCTTTGGCCAACTTTGACGTTGTATTTTCGCTTTTGCAGGAGCTTCTTCCAATAGGTGATAGCATGGAACTGGCACAAAATAACTTTCGCCGACGGAAAGCACATCTCCAAAGATTTCCACTCCGTGAAATCTTTATCTATAACGAACGTCCTTATCTTCTCCCACGAAGGATTCTTCTCCTTGAAAAAATCCAGAACACGAATCATGGTTCGTTTTTTCTCGTTCAGCGCCAGAAAGTCAACAACAGGGATCCCGCGACCGCTCGGACATGTGACTAGAAGTGACCCTACGTGCACATTAAACTATGAGTACTGTACAAAATATCATCTCAGTGCAAAGTACTTACCCAGATGATACCCGAGATTATTCGTGCCATGAGTCCAGTCCATCAGAAGGCAGTCGCCCCACTCTTGAAAACACTTCTTTTGAGCAGCGCTCTGCATTATTATCCCACAAATGATGCCGTGTTGATCTTGCAGTACTGTTGCATCGTTTCCTTCTGTCTTCACAAACTCTTGTAACATGCGTCGAACACGAGACTCCGCGCTATTTTTCCCTTCAATTTTCCGTATAATGTTTCTGGATTGCTGAGGTGTTATGTTTTTCCCTGCATACGTCAATTTGTAAGTAAAACTTGAAGCATAAAAAATCCAAAGATTCGACGAACCTAGCGTTTCGGAGAGAAATGCTGTAACATGCTTTGCACTAGCGCGCACGTCCAGCATTTTGGCAACGTCATCAACAGCATCGGGTCGTTCTTCAACAATTGCGCTAGCAGAAAAATATAGATCTGACACTGCGTCGTTCGTCGGGTGGTTGTGTGTGAATGTCTGTAAGAAAATAAGATACGACACATTTATCAGTACCTCTAATGTAAGAAAACAAAACATGGCATCGCACCTCTTTGAGAATATATATTCCCCAAACTCCAGATACCTGCTCCACGGATGCTGTGAACCGGGCTTGGCAATCTGTGAAGCGGACATCGGTGTCGCGGACTTTCTTACCACGCGATTCCTGATAGCACCCATGGGTGCACCAAAAGTCGACGAATTTAAAAGCGAAGCGATCAGGAATTGGAGTAGCTCTCTTGTTTCTGTAAAATAGCCATAACATAAATCCACGATTAATTATTAAATACTGAACACATATCAAATAATACCAACACATACTCGTTGTGTTTCTTGGCCGACTTGGAGCTTCATCTGCGATATTTCAAATGAAACTGTTCTTCGTATCTCTTGGCGGCTGAAAACACTTGGTCCCAAGTGGTAAATGCCCGCGGGCTAAACTGGGGAACAATATTATCGATTGCGGTGAAGCCAGCAGCAATGTTCGCCTTTACTCGTGATGTTTTAGTTCGGCGCGAGGATGGCAGCCGATTTTGTTGCTTTGCATTGTTGGGTCCTCCGGGTTCTTCGAGTACTCGAGTGCCGCCCATCTACCACAGCGTAAGCATTAGACATGCAAGAGCACAGGCACTTAATGCGGACACCCACTGCGTACCTTACGTCTTACGTTCCGTTTGAGCTGTTAATGAGCGCCAGGCCGTCAAGCGCTAATGAACCCCCTGCGAGCGCAGTACACAGCATAATTCTTAGCACAGGAAGATCACACGCTCTTTACCAAACTTACCCAGCGTACAACTTGTCTTCCTCTCTGTAGATGAACCCCCTGCGAGCGCAGTGCACAGCGTAAGTCATAGCACGGGATGATCACACGCTCTTTACCTACCTTACCAGCGCACAACTTGTCTTCGTCTCCGTAGATGGTCGCCCGCCCGGTCAGTGCTGGAGAAACGCCCGCGAGCGCTGAGAGCTTGCTGCCATTACGCGCCTCTATTAATAGTAAACCACAAATGGATGGAGAGACAGTCTACATAATATAATTCTTAAGAGGTTTACATCAATACTAAAATCAAGTATTTATATTCCGTTGCGCAACGGAGCAACATATTGATTATAAAAGGTAGACTGTAGAAATAAAACAATAAATTTCTTTCTAGCTTCCGTTGCGCAACGGTACATACATAATTTTATAAAAACAAAACATACGACATCCCTTCCGTTGCGCAACGGAGGGGGTGCAATAGAAGTTTCACTCCCGTCATGTAGACCGAACTACTGCTAAGACCGATGCGTTGTGTCTGAGTAGCAACGTATTTGCTTAGGGTGTGTCCGCAGCATCTCTGATTTCAAACAGAGGGTTAGTTTTTCCTCTGGAAAGAGGTAACCCGCTGCATTGAGGATTCCTCTGGAAGCGTTTGCAGAACACACTGATTTCAATACGTTATACGCCAAAAACCACTGTAGAACATTGCGATGTTCTACAGTTTTGTTGCCTCTTCTGCTCGGTGCGCACCCACCCTGCTACGTGTGCATGGTTGACGTAAAATGTATATAACAAGTTACCTGTTGCAGAAGCTACACGACCAGGATCGCATCCGTCGTGCGACTGCAGAGCTCGGAGCCACCGGGTCACGTTTCTATGCTACCTCTTAGACACCGATATGCTCGAGGCACAGAAGGCTTTTAGGCTGTAGAGCGGCTGCCTGCAGCAGTTCAGCGCAAATGTTCGGTCTGACCGACCCTCCATCGTTTTCCTCGGCTGTCTTGGCCTCCTGTAGCGTTCACTATTGAGGTGGCGCACGCTTCAACGTCCAAGGAGGCTCAAGTCATAGCGGGAGCGGCTGCCGCAAGGGCATCGATGACCCCTTCCGTGGTTGGCACCCACGTAAACTGCTAAGCTTGTTAACACTACAGACTCAAATTCCGCTGGAATCGCTACGCAGAACACGCAGTGTTTTGGCCGACCCGCTGTTTATGAAACATCATCGTTGGCAGGTGTAGACTTTATCCACTTGAGCCTTGAGGGCTTGATTGGTGGCCACGCGGGGATGGTTTTCTGACACGATTGATAGTTCGCTTCTTTCTCCTATCGATTTCTTCTCGATCGCGCGGGGGAATTTCCTTCAGTAACATCCCGTATCCAGCTATCCGAGCCGATCGGGATCGATCTTCTACAAGCTGCGCTCCCTTGCCCGAGGCAGCAAACTGGACTCCATAGAAACTGAAGGAGTGTTACTTGACTTTTTTTTCTACTCGGGAGATGGAACTCTGAACTACTCTAGGTATACAGCACGGCACTATCCAAACAGAGCTGCTTCCATGGTTTCCTCGATTAATGAGCTATTTGTGGGAGTCTGGCGGACGTGATGTGTGATGCGGCAAAGCGCCGATCGATAAGGAGTAAGCATGATGACAACCGTTACCGTACACTTACTAATCAGATGTAGTCTGCGAAGTGGGGAAAACTACCGTAGTATTTCGAATCGCACCTCTATGGTGTAAGTGAGGCAGGTTACACAAACCATGTCTGGATACACAATGCCTTAAGTTACATATATTTTTCATGGTACACTTGGTTGTTCCAAGTGATAACAAGTATTCAAGGTTTACCTGGCGCACGTCCTAACAAATTGTCATTACGCAGACAAGCCCCGCCACCGCGTGGGTAAGTAAGGAGTCCTGCCAAAATAACCGCCTCCGCCACCGATCATCGGAGCGCACTGTTGTTGAGAAGCATGCCGTCCGTTAGTGAGTCAGCGCACATGAGACACCGCCGCGCCGTGGATACCCTCCCGTTGATGCCTTGTGGTACGTCACCGCGCTTACCAATCCAACGCTTAATTCATTTCAAAAGTGACATCAGTCGTATACGATGTGATGGCGAACATTATACCGCTCGTTGAAAGGCTGGTTATAGAATGCGTCGCAACCGTCTTCGTTATTAGCAGTAGCTGTGATGGGGAATACTAGTACGGAATGTCATGAAGGACACAGCCACTCCGATTCTTTCTCGGACTGCATAGGTGACCGTGGTAATTGCGCAAAAATGTACTATACAACCGCACTAACTTGTTTCCATAAACATATATGAATTCTGAAGCTACTACATTGTACTACGCGCACCCTAGATACTGGAGTACTCGACTCTGAACCGGGACCATCGGAGCTGGATCTCAACGACCTGTGTTGTGACGGCCTACTGCGAGGGTGCTATAATGGGCAGTATTGACATCGTATCCCATAATTTGTATATACGCTTGTCGTTCCATCCTCCTATTAATGCATGTAACCCACTCTTGTGCTGTCTCAACCAAAGCGTAGCCCTATTATAAGGTGACAACTACAGCAGCTTAGCGCGAAGCCCTGCTGTAATATAAAAAATTAAAATTGAACTCACATTGACTGTTACAATACTACTAAAATTAATTATTATATTCGTAATTCATTTATGTTCGTTATGTTTCGTACACATTATTGTTATATTGTTCCGTTTATGGCTCAAGCAACGGATGAAAATATCGTCGAATTGTAATTCCGTTGCAGGACTGACAGTGTCGGACGTGCCCTTGTGGCGTTATACTACCAGTGGAATGGCACAAGATGCGTTGGCATTGATGGATTATCTCAACTGGGAGTCTGCTCACGTGGTGGGAATCAGTATGGGCGGCATGATCTCGATGGAGCTAGCATTGGCAGCTCCAAAGCGAGTGAAGTCACTCACGCTAATTGTAACAACTCGAGGGAGGTTCGTTGAGGATCCTCGCTCCAAGGGACCCATGAAGGAGACCATGGATGCTACCGACCCCGATGCTGTCGCCAAGGCCCAGCTGAAGCTGCTCTACAGTGACGTTTACTTGGACCAGCCGATGTCTTTCGGGGACCAGACTAGGCGTCAAGTCGTGTTCGAGTATCTGGAGAAACGAGCCAAGGCACGGGTGAAGCCGGGTTTGCTCGGGACGATCAACCAATTTCTGGCTGTCCGTACGCACTGGATTTCGGATGAACGCCTTGCGGCCATCATCGATGCTGGCTTCCCGATTCTCCTGGTCGGAGGCGCTATGGACATCCTCATTCCGCCACGTGAAATGCAGGCACTGCGTCAGCACCTGAAAGGAGATCACGTGGAGACGCTTTTCTTTGAGCAAGGCGGGCACGGCATCATTCTCCAGTACCCGGAAGAAATCGCAGACAGTGTCACAGGGATGTTGCTGCGTTGCTAATGCTAAACTCTCATTTGACCTAACATCAAACTGAGAGCAACTAGTTAAAGGCAGCCACATACATTTGTCGGCGAATGTTGGTGCCGTAGCTAGTCACCGACGTCACGCACGACATTCAAACTATTAACAAGTGGAGATGACATCGTCTTTCTCCACCATGACATCATCGGGTCCCTCAACTTCTTCTCGGGGTCTACTTGCATGTTCATTTCTGAAACCGCAGCGATCTACGAACTTCCCTCCAGCAATGTGTGCCAAGCGCATTACGGCCACGACCAACACGATGGAGCGATCTGGGTTTCGTCTGCAGCGCCACTTAGAGGTCATCTATACGGCCCCATATCACTTCAACAGCAGTCACATTCGACGCGTCAGGGTCCACACGGGCATTATACTTGAGTTCGCTCTCCACCAACACCCGCTCGCGTGGAACCCGCCACCCGAAGATGAATTATCTGGAGAGGATGAAGTTCGAGTAGTGCTGGTGACAGGGTTCCTCAACACGAAAGAGACCTGGACGCCGCCGTTAGAGACGATGCTGCGCCAATGGGACGGACTGGAGACCGACAAGCGCCTGAGGATCCTGACATTTGACAATCGAGGTGTCGGCGGCTCTACCTCACCCATAGGGCCCTACACCACGCGTAACATGGCCGAAGACGCGCTCGCTCTGCTGGATCACGTCGGCTGGGAGCAGGTTCATGTTGTCGGATACAGCATGGGCGGAATGATCTCGCTCGAGCTGGCTCACATGACGCCCGAACGTATCAAGTCACTATCGTTACTTTGCACGACGCGAGGCCGGTACATCCCAGCTTGCAATGGAGTGCTCCCCATGACCAGGACACTCGATCACAGCGACGTTGACACAGAGACTCACAACCTGCTCGTGGTGCTGTATCCGCCCAAATTCCTTTCGCAGGAGATGGAGATCGAGTCGCGCAGCATCTACGAGGCGATGTTCGAGTGCCACAAGTACCTCGTGGAGAACCGAGAAGCCCCGCGGGTTTTTGGTTTCGTTGGTCAGGGGTCAGCCGTGCTCTCTCACATCGTCTCGGACGAACGTCTACGCGAAATCCGCGATCACGACTTCCCGATCCTTGTGCTTGGTGGGTCGAAAGACATGGTAATTCCAGCTCGAGAGACTCAAACACTCTACAACTTGCTGGCCAGTGACCATTCCAGGATGGTTGTGTACGAGGATGCAGGTCACGGAGCCTTCATCCAGTATCTCGACGAGGTTGCTGAGGATGTTATCAAGACGATTCAAGCTGCTGAATGTGCACATGAATAGGAACGGAGCCTTGAGCCTTGCATACACAAACTCACATGCCAATTACTTTGCCGTCACAGCAATCCGATGGTGTCCATTGCGATCCCCTTTCGACAAGCGTCTCGTTTGTTAGGTCCATGCCCAACACATGGCGCTCCTGCCAAGGTATTCGTCCACGACCGCCAACTGATCTTGCACTTCGCCACTTCGTCGCTGCGCCACGCACGCGCGGCAGCCTGCCTGCCTGCCTGCCTGCCTGCCGCCACCAAGGCCCTCGCAATAGGAGAGCACTACGAAATTGTCCGCGTCACAGTCACCATGAAGGTCCCGATGGAAATCCCGCTCATCGGGTCGCCGGGGTTCACCTCGGGTCGACACATGGAGGCGCTGCTCTCGACACCCAAGCACTTCGCGGGGGAGTACGTGCACACGGCTAACGTGGCGACAGGCATCAAGATGGAGTACATGCTGGAGACCAACGCGGATGCGAAGACCCCCGCGTGCCGGAATCTGCCTGAAGAGCGGTTGGTGCTGATCATGGGTTTCCTGCAGTTGAAGGAGCTGTGGGGGCCCGTGATCGACATGCTCATGAAGAAATGGGACGCCAAGAAGCAGGGCAGGAACTTGACCGTCTTGACCTTCGACAACCGCGGGGTGGGCGGCACCGACGCGCCGTTGGGGAGATACACGACCAGCCAAATGGCGGAGGACGCGCTGAGTCTGCTGGACCATCTCAGATGGAAATCAGCACACTTCGTCGGCATCAGGTGAGCTGTTGTAAACATTGTATAGAGCTAAGCGATATCATATCTGACACTGGAGTTTACACATCTTCTGCAGCATGGGCGGCATGATCTCCATCGAGTTGGCTTGTGCGGCCCCGGAGCGCGTGGAGTCGTTGTCGCTGTTGGTGAGCACTCGAGGCAGGTACATCCCCGATATGCGATCGATGATCCCATTGCTAGGCGCCATCTTCTCGCCCACGCAGACGGGAGTCGTCAAGAACACCGTGTCGCTCAACTACCCGCCCGACTTCCTCGACCGACCGGTCGGCGACCATCAGGACGTGCGCAGCGTGCTCGAGCGGCACTACTCGACGCTGCCGAACCGCCACAAGCCGGCGGGCTACAAGGCGCTGCTGTGCCAGGGCCTGGCCGTGCAGACCCACTACGTCTCGGACGAGCGGCTCGAGATCATCGCGCAGGCGGGCTTCCCCGTGCTGGTCGTCGGCAGCATGCAGGACATCCTGATCCCTCCGGAGGAGTCCGTCAAGCTGCTGCAGCTCCTGCCGGGCGACCAGGTGCGCGCCTTCTTCTTCAAGAACGGCGGCCACGGCATTGACACGCAGTTCGCCGAGGAGGTCGCCGACGGACTCGTGGAGACCGTGAAGCGGGCCCGACTCTGAGAGGCGATTGACAGATGGTCAAGACTGCAACTTGCCGCGAAATAGCCAAGTTGAAGTGAGTGTTCGAGTGTAATTGAATCTAAGCACCAGCTGTATTTCTGCGTGTCATCGTCGAGTGAGCAGCGCGGAGCGGAGTCCATGTGCATGTACTGCAGCCCTGGGCGTCGGACACTGAAGCCGACAGTGCAGCTGTGGCGCGGAGCAGGTGGTGCCAGTGTTGCAGTTTGCGTGACGCCACGTGGCCGATGTATCTCGATTTCTCGAAGGGATCCGCGCATGGACTCGCCCTGGTACACGCTTTCGCCGCGAAAATTTCAATATTCACTCGTGGGATTGATGGGGAGCAGCAGTGTTGCTACGGTATTTCGGTGCGGCCAATGCGCTCGGTTTCCTAGGTGTCGGTCCCGATGTTGCCGAGCCGGCGATAACAATGCGGAGCCTGTGGCGTTGCGGTGGATCGGCCAGCATGGGGCGCAGATTTCTGGACAGGTTAATGATTCGGACCGCGTTCGTCGAGCGCTGCGTCTATCTGCTCATCGGGATTGTGGTTGCATGGATTAGCCGTTTGTACCACAATTTCTGGGTAACGGTACGCATTAGAGATTCAAATTCAATGGATTTCCAGAGGTAATGTACGATACTAACGGCTCAATCATCGAAATAGAATGTGCAAGGTATCGGTTTCCAGCCATCAAGTGCGGTAACTCGCAGGAAGTCGGTTTTTTCATCGCATCTCCGCCAAAAAGCGGAATTCCTCACGTTCGCCTCAGTAGACAAAACGCGCGCAGGAGGGGAAGGCAGGCACTTCCATTTTTTCATCACACGGTCGCCCCACCACACTACACTGCAAACGCTCAATGAGGGAGAGCCAGCCGGCCACGCGCATGAGCATGTCGCTCATGAACCAGAGCGATCCGAACGGCCGCGAGCTGCGCCTGTGGCTGCTCTCGGCCACGACCCACCGCGGCGTGACGTACTACCGCATCGCGGGGCGCTTCACGTCCACGGGCCAGACGTGGGAGGTGAGCCACCGCTACTCGGAGTTCCTCAAGCTGCGCGACCAGCTCGTCAAGTT